AAGATATATTGTTCATATTTCTTTGCCAGCAATAATTCAAGGCGTGCCTTCCAGTGCAGGAGATTTCCTCTCTGCCTTATAAGCTCAACACATCGCCCAAAATATTTGAAACTTGCTCTTTCTGCTAGAATAGAAAAGACTGCAGTCCACATCTCTGCTCTGTCTTTAATCGAATTTCCCAGAGGAACCCACCCGAGGGATTAATAAAGTTCTATCTTATCTTATCTTATCTTATCTTATCTTATCTTAATGTTTAGGTAACACACTTGAGCTGAGCTATGCAAACTATCTCCAACCCCAACTCTGTCTCATATCTTTAGCCTGCAGGTAATTCTCACCCTGTCTGCTCGGGAGGTCTAACTAGTGTGACGCGACATAAAGCCAGAAATATAACCAGGCCTGTCTGCTTATGATGTGGGGCATAAGGAGCAGCTGAGCAGGAAGGTGTTGGGTTACAAAGCAGCTCTATATTAACAGGGGGATAAATGTAGAATAACACATAAATAATATATTGTATGATATCATTAATCTAATTTTAATCCTTGTCTTTAGTAAAGCATGTTTAAGAGCTGCTGGCAACTAGCAGACCTATTCTTTATGAAAACGAGTCATTTATCTTTGTTTATTCCCTCAATTTTAGAAAATAAAAACACCCAAAAAAAGAAGTTCTGTAAGCTTGGCTGATGGAAAAATAAGGGAAGATCTATGACAAGCATGACTAGCTTAAATGTCCACACAAGAAACACAAATAACAGATGTTTATAAATAGCTAGCATAGGCCTAATTAATTAAGAAGAAGTTGCAATACCACAATGCTATGCACGGAGGTTAGCACTGCTCTCACAAAACAAGAAGTTTTAAATGTGGGCTTGAATCCACTGGCTTGCTGGGGTCTTTCTGTGTGGAGTTTTCATGTTCTCCCTGCGTCTGTGTGGGTTCTCTCCAGCTTACTTCTACAATCCAAAGGCATCCAGTTAGTAATTGAAAGGTCCCAAATTACCATTAAGTGTGAATGTGAGTGTAACGTATTTGTGTCTGTGTTAGCCACCCCCTCAATTTGGATAATAGAAGAAAATGGATAGATAGATTTTATACTTGGTGCATGAAGAAATGAGAGTAAAGAGTCCTGGGTCATCTTTCCAGTCACACTAATGTTTATCATTTTGGACAATGACAGCATTTCTCACTATCTGAACTTTTTTAATACCCCCAAAAAGATTGGAAAAATAATTCATTTTAATCTTGTATTAAATATGTGCTAGTTTTTTGTCTATGCTAGCTTTTTATTAAAACGCTAGCATTTTGTGCTAGCAACTGATAAAATTCTAACAGCATTTTTGTCCAGCTTTTTGTTAACTTTTCTGAAATGCTAGCTTTTTGTGCTGCTAGGACAAAAAGCTAGCATGTTTTTTTCTAGATTTTTGACCGTTGAAAAGATGGCAAAAAATGCTAGCTTTTGTGTAGGTCTTCGAAAGGAAAAAAAACTAAAGCACCTTTAAAAAGTTTTTTTTTTTGTTTTTTTTTTGCTTGTCCCATTTGGTTCTTTAGCCGTCAGAATTGTTGTCTGCACACCAACAAGGATACCCAATGGATTTATTTTGCAAATGGATCATCA